GCGTGACTCACTCTCACTGTCTCATCACATCCATCTCACGCTCAAGCCCCAAACAGCACTCTTCCTTCCTGCGTCTCCGTGCAGGATGATCAGCCCTCTTTAGATGTTTTCTTGTTATTTGCGCCTTAAAATACATTTTAAATTTTTGTGTTTTGTGTTTCCAATTTCCTGATTTCTTCCCTTCCACCGCCCCTGAACAAACAAACAAACTCCGCGTCACGGTGAAAACCAGCTTGAAGTTTCTGGTAGAAATCCAAACGCTGACCTCACGCGCAGATCTGTGACTTATTCTGCCAAAAATGGGTACCCACCCGCCACCAACATAACACCCACACCCTTAAGTGGCACCAGGCCAATACAACTTTGGGGCCAGCTTGTAGGAACCCAGCCTGGCTGCACCGTCACCACGGCCCACTCTCTCAGAGGGGGGTCAACTAAACCGCGGCGGGGGGAGTTGCAAATGAACAATTACGTGAATCCAAAAAAGAAAAAAAAAAAACATGAAATGAAAAATTCCTCCATATATTCATCTTCCAAATCATGTTTATAGAAAGCAGACCAACGCTGTACTATGACTTCAGTGAAAATCCGTAGAATAATTTCCCCACAATATAAACATCTAGGCTTTCAAGCACCTTTTAAAGAATCGATTCTTAATGATTCGTAATGGTTTCGCCCTCGTCTAGAAAAGTAAATAAAAGGGAACACTGTAAGAGCAACTTCTTCGAATGAACACTTTCCATTTTCCACTTACATTGCATCAGTAAAATCACAACAGGAAGATACAGGGACGTCCCCATCATTATCGTCCCCAACTCTGCCTGGAGTCTCGTCTTCGGAGGAAGGAGCGAGGAGGCAGATCCCGAGCCTCGGCTTTGTTGTTCACTTGTTCGCAACTCCCAGATAATTCATCCGGCATCCAGGGAATAAACTGATCTCCCGGGAGGGTGTGTGAGCGCGCGTGTGCGTGTGTGTCAAGCAACCGGACCGACCCGGCGCTCAGCTCCTGGCACGAGAAACAGACGAGCGTGAAGTCGCAACTTCTGCACGGAGCAGTCAGCGAGATCGACGTCCCGGCTGAAAAGTGCGGTGAGCAATGGCGAGCAGCCTCTGTCACTGTCAGAGAGACGCGAATGGATGCTCTCTGTTCTCGCTGGGCGGCTGGTTGAGATTGAGGTGGAGGGAGGAAGGGAGGGAGGGCGGAGTGAGCTCTGATGAGCAGAGCGGCGGAGCGCCGAGAGCGCAGCGCCGTGTCCAAGACGCGCACTGCACTGCCAAGTGGCCACATAGCGGTGGTGTGGCAGCAAAGGTGTGGTCGCCTTAATACCGAACCCCGAGGGAGACCCGCGAGTTATGCTGAACTTTGAGGCCCACTCCACGTAGAAACACACACACATATTACAGTTTCTTCCTTCAATGTTGGAGACAAGTTTGTTAGAAACAGTCAGAATCAATATGGAGTATTTAAACAGTTTTGATGTTACCGGGTTGCTCAAAAATCTCTTTGGTTTCAGTAATCATGAAACAGGTGATCTGTCGGAGCAGAGGACGCACACTGAGATGCAACACTACGAATTAGGAGTTAACAGAAGAACTGTAAAGGTTTGAAATCGTTTGCGTTTTTATGAAAGGACGGGTGCCAAACATAAGGCCCGGGCGCAGAATAGGCCCAGCAAAAACTGCAATTTGGCCCACCTGATGAACATTGTGTGTAGATTTTGAACTTTAAACTGTAGATTTTACAGCTAGCTTTTCTTAATGATAATCACCATACTACGCCAAAGCAAAGAACAGCAATGTCTGTTTTTTTGTTGTGTTTTTTTACAGTATGTCCACAGTAGCTACAAAAACAAACCCAAATATTTTCTCTAAATTAATTAAAACTAATTTGGGTTTAAAGAGCAGAAAGTTGGCGTCATTAAAACTGTGCTGCACCTTCAAGGTTCTAAAACAGTAAATGTATTTCAGCTTTTCCACCATAACAGAAAACGAGTTGTTGGGCAAAGAATTTTCTTTCAAGTTATTCATTCGTCAACTCTGAAAATCTCCCCGTGTTTTGTGAGTATGAGCTCATGATTTCACTTGGATTTCACATGAGGTCTTGTAAGCGGTTCTGAAAGTGATCCTGTCCAATTATGCTTTTGCTCACGATCTTTTTAAGAACTATTTTGTAATTCTGATGGATTTAAATAATAACGAGTGTTTAACAGAGACAAAAAAGCACTGACATTTAAAGTATGGTGCAATCAAAAGCTTATTTAAGCAAAGTAATTCTCATTAAACCTGAAATGCATGACAATAGTTTTTTTCCCTCAATAGAAAGCTGAATGCTGATTATATCCAGAGAAAGACGGGTTATTACTCATCAGCAGAGCATTGATTCCTCAACAATTACTCAACAAGAGATTCAGCGAGGCACGCAGATTGCATTACAGACCTTTTGAACAAATGGAGAACAGAAGGACATAAATTCATTTGTCAGGATGCATTATTTCACAGTATTTTTGTAGTTATTCAATTTTAATCATATGTGCAGCACCAGTTCCTAAACACCTCTAAAGTGCTGCAGGAGAGGGGAATTCAGGGCATCAGGGCACCGAGTCAAACATCTCGACTGGGACTGAATCTGAGGCATGTGTGTTTGGGTGTGTCTCACACACTGTCAGGGTGTTTTTGGGTGGGTGGGGGGTGGGGTTAGCAGCAAGATGCTTGAGATGGGACAACAGCTGCATAGTTTGCAGCTTTTCTGGCCAGAGACTTTGCGCAATCTTACATTGTTTCCAATCCAATTTGGGAAAAGTTGAATGTTACTGAGAAACAAACATAATAATTTGACCAGAAATGGGTGTTTTTTCTGTTTTATGGTTCCTGGCATTCACTTTTAATCTCAAATGATCTAAAGACACCCAAAGAAGGGATCAATTTTCCTTGTCACTGGAAGCCATTAAACATAAGACATACTTTATGTATCCCAGATATGGGAACTTTACCAGAACTAGTCAATAAACAGATGTTAAACAAGATGTAGCCAGTGTTTTAAAGAGTGTACACTGTAAAAAAACAGACAAACCAAAACAACCCCCCTACCATCCAGCCACCTACAGTAATAGTGCAGCATGTGGTGTGCCAGAAAACTACAGTGAAATAACAGAACTTTACGATCACGGAAAAATAAAGACATTTTATTTAAACATGGAATTTTTTTTCTTGTTTTGGAAAATAGTCCAAAAATAGTTGGAAAATAGTCCTGTAGCTTTAAGTTTACACAGTGTGTGTGTGTATATATATATATATATTTTAAATGGTGTTTACATGCGTAACAATGATAAACAAATACCTAATAATACGATCAAATACTGCTACAATAAACTCAACGAGGCTTAAACTTGCTACAGTTACCATTTGGGTTTATTATATAGTAAGATGACAATTTTCGAAGGTTGCCACGCCCACAGTGCTTATCTCAAGTACACACTTTAACCTGCTTCAATCTATAAACTGTTCATTTTCCACCCATTAAAATTTTCCATGTTGCTGGCTATCTGTTTGAACTTTTTCCACACTGACCCCTTGTAAGTGTCCCTCTGTGTAAAGTCCGTCAAGCATCCCTCAGATTTGACAGTTAACTCGCATTGACATTAATCTGCAGAGTGCCCGCCCCTTACACTTTGTTTCTAATCAAAACTATAACAAAAGAATCTGATTGGTTGCAGCACTTTCCTGAATTAGCCCTTTACTTCTTCTATTTTTACGTTATAAAAAATGAAATTATTACAAAATACTGTTTGGTCTTTCATGACTAGACTATTCTATTTATGGAAAGTTTTAGTAGTTTTGTAAAATTCTATTGAATGATCCAAGTCTGTAATTTCACAGGCAATTAACATTTATTGTTCAATCTCATTAAACTTATGCATGCCTTATGAATAAATCTTTACAGATTTTTTATTATTCCTTCTCCATAACGTCAGTTTTATGGTTTATTTGAAAATAAACAGCACAATTATAAAATACAGTCTGTGAAATTACACTAATTATAATTGTTAACTGTGTTTTGACAGCTTACTAATATTTGCAGATGTTTTATAAACACCAAACTTTCTGTGAAAAATGTAAATTTTGTTTATTCAGTTTTTTTCCCCTATTTTGCAATTTTATTGATAATTTATTTACAGCTATGTGTATCAAACTTAATGGACAGAATGTTTCATTGCAGATTCTTTTCATTTTAAAGCATATAAAGCAGTGGTTCTTAACCTTGTTGGAGGTACCGAACCCCACCAGTTTCATATGCGCATTCACTGAACCCCTCTTTAGTGAAAAATAAAATATGATTTTTTTCAAATTCAAGACATAGATATGTTTTTTTTACTGGTGCACAAAATGAGCCGTGCATGTCACAGCGGAGGCTCTGCCGAACCCCTAGGGTTCGATCGAACCCAGGTTAAGAACGATGATGTAGCTCTTGCATAAATCTCAGTGTTGTTGTCGAATGTGTCAATTTACCAGGAATCAAGAAGGAAGAAGGAGAATAAAAGGGAAACGATGCTGCCTCATGACTCAAACCCTCAGGCTTGCTCACACATGCCAAGCGCACTCAGAGGATTGAGAGCCACCTGTTTGCCAAGTGATAGACGCAACAGATGCACTGTTGCCTGACCTCTGGCCAATTTACACATGTACGCATGCACGCACACAGCTTTTGTTGTTAAGGAAAACTGCTGATACACGAACAAACGCACCCACCCACAATCACGACTGTTAATCACGCCGAATACAAAGGCTGGTGCGTTTTGCGCAACAATACTGCCGTTCGTTTCAATTTGCAGCAATATTAAATAAGACAATAAATAAATGCAAGAGATTTCTCACATGTTTTTATACATTTATTGAACAAATGATCTAATCAGTTAAAGTGTTTACGTGGAAGGTTACAGAGGTGGTTAGTGGCTGGCTGGAAGTTGAGGTGAGTTGGGAGGAGATGGTGGAGCTGCTACTTCAGGCACATCCACCTGTGTAGAAAACAAAAACGTGAAAACAGAGAAGAGAAACTAACATTTTAAGACCGTTACATCCCCTCTCCATCCTACTTTCATTAGAAATAAGCTAAAATATCTTTTTGCAAAAAGAAAGCTTCCGTAGTGGTGGTAGTGGGTTGTGGGGGCATGATGCCCACCGTGGGGGGAAATTTGGAAGAATCTGTTTGCAGTGTGGGCGGTGGTGTTTTGGCCAGCTGGAGGCAGACAGGGGACATGCCTCCCTACTGCCTGCAGCCGGCTCACAAAACGCATCCGCCCACGTCTCGCTGTTTTTATAAACCTGTTCCTGGAGAGTCCGTAGGCTGGCACATACTGGGGGTGAACCAAATAACACTAATCTTTCAACTTAATGATGTAACAAATTACGCCCGTCAAAAAGGCCAGACAATTTGACATCAGTGCAAGATTCAGACGCTTTATGAGCCTTCTGAGAAGACCAAGAGCTAGAAGCAGGGATGCGACATATAAATAACCAAAATTTGTGCATTTTAAAAGAAAAACATTCGTGTAATCTCAGCGAATGAACCTTAACAAGTCCATTTAGATAACTGAAGTTTCTCTCTCTGTTGTCTAGATGTACGGCGGGTTTTAGTATTGAACATGTCATCTATTTTCTAAGTAAATATATTTCTAAAGCTGCTATTAACATTAAATTCTCGCTGGCTGTTGGCAGCAACTTATCCAATCCACACACACAAAGAAATCAAACCATCGAGGTCCAAAGGCGCTGCATGTCACCCCAAAAGCACCACACCAACAGTGAAGTTTGAAGGTGGGGACATCATGGTGCAGGGCTGTTTTTCAGCATATGGCACTTCCTTCATATAATTAGAGCAAGGATGAATGGACAAATTAAAATCTGCTCCCATCTACCAGGATGACGAAGATGAAACGAGGGTGGACATTTCAGGAAGAACATGCTCCCAAACACAGCCAAGGAAACTCTCAGAGAAAGAAAATGAAGCTGTTAGAAAGGCCGGGCCAATCATCGGACCCGAATCCAGCTGATGATCTACAGAAAGAACCCATGTGAGCCTGTTTGTGTGGAAGAACGGGCCAAAAGCTGTCATCACCATCTATCTTTGATTTCTTTGCATGTGTGGATTGGGCGGGTTGTTGCTGACATTTGGTGAGAATTTCATCTCAACAGCACCCTAGAAATATATTTGCTTACAAAATTGGTGACGTGTTCAATATTTATTTTACCAGCTGCATGTCTGTCTATCAGAGAGAGAGAACTGTTGCAATTCCAAGCCCCCCCACTTCATACCAGCATTATCATTTGCAAAACGGTGCAGAAGAATCACCTAAAGCAAAAGGACGCTGCGGGTCATTTTAAAGACCTCCTGCCATGTTGAGCGAACACAACATCTGTAACCCTCAAACGCTGCGATTTAAACTGCGCTCGATCGTCACGGTAAATGATGTAATTTAGAAAATTGTTTTGGTAGTATGACATCATCTGATGAAATGCTGCTTTGACTTAAAAACAGCTGAACGGTGAACACGAGTCACGAACACGGTGACTTTCACTGTAAATAATGATCTACACTTCACAATATGATGTCAGGCACCAGAATGGTGACGATGCTAACAGAGTTACTGCTATCTATTCCTTTAACCTACCAGATTCATAATAATTGATCATTAATAATCACACTTAAAGGCACAGGCTGAAATAAAAACACACGAATCTGGATTTGAAGCATTGCAGTGAATCCAGCCATTGTTTAACTGTTTAATAGTGAAGGTTGTTTCTCAGCAGTTTTTCCCTCCACATTAAAGGAAAGACAGCTTTATTTCAAAGAGCTGAGCGTGACAAGAACAGCCAGCCTCGGGCTGCTTAAAAGGAATGAAAAACACTCATGTGGTCTTAAAATGACGTCTGTTTGCCACTGCAGGCTGCAGAAGAGAAGGAGAGGAGGTGCATTTGGCATGTCTGCCTGCATATGCTTTCTTATGGTGCAACATAGCTGTCCTTCAGAGATCTTCTAGGCCTCTTTCACTTTATAGCTCTTCCACTGATTAGCGGTAGCGACGTTCTGATAACATGGGACAAACGGGACAGGGCGGCTGCCCTTCGTACAACAAACACGGCATGTATTAGAAGGTTGGCTGATAATATATAACAGTGACCTCCAAGACTATAAAACTGATGTGCAGCCTCTCCTGGAGGAGGTCTGCATGCTAATCCTGCGCTCTTAAAAACTCCATAAATATATGATCCAAATATTTCACAATTTTAATATCAATCCAACTCAGGTCTTCAGACTTTTGTTCTTAAAAGTGCCATTTTCAATTCCCCGAGTATCCCATCTCTGTGTATAAAATGTAGGCCATGGAGCACAGTATATCATCAGTTGCCAAATTAAGTGCGTCTAATAATGAGTACATTTTTTTTTTTATTACGCAATCAGTGATGCACCGTGGATGCCAGAAAGGCTGCTGCGAAATCTATTTCGCCTTGATGGCTCCATCCAAAATTAACTCATAACCTAGTTTGAATTTGCAGAATTGATGCGTCTATCTTTCAGCGCTCGAGTCAAGCTCGCTTATGCAGACGGAGCGGATTCACCTTTCGCATCAATCCAGGCGTCTAGAAGTAGAGCCTTGAACATGCAGAGATTTAAAAATATTTTCCCCTCGGATCTTCACTCGGCGTTTGTGGTTTTGATGTCGACTTCAGAAAGCAGCCTTTGTCCTTCATGAGGAGGATGAGACCTGCCTTTTCCTTGAGATTACAGCCGCGATACTTCCTGTCTCGGTTTTTGCCAACATAATAATGCACGGTAATAAAAACAGAGTGCTAAATCCTAACCTCTGGCTACTGGACAAATACTCAACACCGTCCAGACATTAAGAGTTCTCTCTGGGCTGGTTTCAGTTCTTCAGAGCTAAAAAACGGAGACATTTGCTGTTCTTTTCTCAAACATATTTTTATTAGATTGAAGCACATTTGCTGTTCTTACCAGCTTCTCTGCCCGTTGCCTCAGTTTCCTCCAGACTGTGTGGTGAGCCTGCAGAGAGAGGAAAACGTGACTTGGAGGCACATGTAGACACAATAAAGTGCTTTTTATACATCACACAATTCTTGGCAATTGTGCATGAAAAACTGTTGTAACAGATGGACAATCAAGTGCCATTTGATTAGCTTTTGTTCCACTGCTGCAGCGCTTTTAAGGATATTAAATCAGAAAAACATGGACAATAAAGCTTTTATTTAATGTGGGCTGGACTGCTTTACATCACTTTTACAGTCCTAACAATCAAAGCACTAAAACATGTATGAAGTTTACAATCATATGTCACTCAACCTGCCAGTGTCCTTAGTATGTGCGAAGATACTGGAAGAAATAACTGGTTCCTATATATACAGCTTATACTAAACACACTTTCTCACCTGAAGCTGCAGAGGCAGGGAGAGGCCCTGTGCTCGACGATGGAGGCCCCAGGATCCCTGTCCCAGGCTGTGGAGGGCCGTCACCTCATACTGGGAGCACAGGCCTGTTCTGGCCACCAGGGGGCCCCCACTCAGGAGTACATGGTCGCCGCATCTACCAAAACGGGTACATGGTTGGTTGACTTCAGGAATGGTAAATGGCCTGTATTTGTATAGTGCTTTTACTAGTTCCCCCTAGGGACCCCAAAGCGCTTTACAGACTCAGTCATCCACCCATTCACACACTGGTGGAGGCACCTGGGGCAGACTGACAGAAGCGAGGCTGCCATATCGCGCTATCGGCCCTTCTGGCCAACACCAGTAGGCGGTAGGTGAAGTGTCTTGCCCAAGGACACAACGACCGAGACTGTCCGAGCCGGGGCTCAAACCGGCAACCTTCTGATTACAAGACGAACTCCCAACTCTTGAGCCACGATCGCCCCGGAATAATGAAAGATTCTACTCTGCCCGTCATGCAGTGCAATAAGGAAAGTTTCAGTCTACTGGTGTTTGCTCAGTGTCCAAATACTGTTACACATATTTGCTAAATGCAGAAGCACAGCCTGCAAAGTCAAAGGAAACACAATTTCATAAACTCTAACTAAAGTTAGGATACCTGTCTCGAGTTTAGTACCAACTTCAGTGCCAAATAGTTCTCTTAGTTTAAGTGACTGCTCTTAAAGGTGGTCCCGCTCTTGATATGTTACTGCATATGAGGTATGACGATATCTGGATGTTGTGTTTTCTTTCTTGTACTGTGTATCAGTTGTATCTGTTTGTTTATTTGAGCATGCATTGGTTGCGTTGTGTGCTGCTCTCTTGGCCAGGTCTCTCTTTTTGTACTCTGTTTATGTAAAAATGCAGCGTCACCTGTAGAGCATCACTGTGCCTTTGGGATTTTGAGATGCTTTCTGTTCCACTTCTTCCTGCTTACACCTGCCAGAGTAGGAGAAAATACAACAAATAAAGCATTTAAAACTAAATGAGTCGTGAAAGGAGGTACGTGGAAGTGTCAGCTGTCTACACAGCTGAGCAGTACTCAGATGCCAGTCTACCTGCTGTGTGAGAAAGCCTCCAGTGCCACAGAGGGCGCCACTTCCAGAGGCTCCCAGGCCAGGTCTTGGTGGATGAGCTGCTGGGCTCCTCTGGTCAAAGAGCGTAATGACTCCTGAAAAGAAACAGACGTTTTGCTTGACAAACAGATCACCAGACAGTAAAACATCAGCTGATTTTGAATGGAAAATCTTATTAAAGAGAAACTTAACATTAGCCGGATGTCACTACTTCTTACAGTAAAAACTACAACCTGCCTGAACAGTTGTAGGTTTTTCTAGAGTCGCAGGGCTTTTCCCAGTCGGGCCACCAAAATCTAACTCAGCCCTGCCCGTCGGGCTGTCGTAGAGAGGAAAAATATATGTCAATGCTTTTGCATTCTTTCGCAAATGTAGCTGAGTAATTATGTAATTAGCATTGAAGAGCCACTGTTTGAATTTGCGCTTGTTTTTTGCTTCCACTTTCACTGTGCGTATAGAGAGCGGCAGTATTGGTGAGTCACAGATTAATTGCATCGTCTTATCACTCATTAGCTCACAATTCAAACATGACAAGTGAAATCTCTCGCAGCAAACTTGAACATGTGATAGAGGCTGATTGCACAGAGAATCGCTGACCGTGATGTGTGTGTGTATAAAAACAGATGGATTTATGCAGGTATTTTAGTTCTGCAGAGCCAAATAAGACATATCAGGATGAAGAAGGGGCAGCCAAAGAAAAGTTTACCACAAAACAAATCAGACTATGAGGCAACAAGAAAGCGCAGCTTTTTTGGTTTCTTGGACAAAAGAATTTCTGTGGCTGGAATATGATGAGCTAAATAACATAATGTTCTGCCGGGTGTGTCGTGAGTTTCCCTCGATGTCTGAGTCGACAAGCGCCTTTGTTACTGGGACCAGTAATTTTAAGAAAGACCCATCAGAACTCATGAGAAATGCAAGAAATGCATTATTGCCCAGTCTGCAATATCTTTCCCAGAACAAACA